TGCAATCTCCATAGAAATCCCAGAAAGTTCATTTATGGATTTTGATTCTGAAGTGTATATGGAGAGGCAAAAGACCCAGAATAGCCAACACATTATTGAAAGAGAAGAACAAAGTTGGAGGACGGATGCTACCTGCTTCCTTAAGACTTACTGTGAAGTTACAATAATGAAGACAGTGTGATATTGGCAAAGGAACAGAAAATAGATCAATGGAATAAAATAGAGAGCCCAGAAATCGACCCCCCCCCCAAATATAGTCAACTGATCTTTGACAAAGGAGCAAAGTATCACAATGGATAAAGGAGAGTCTCTTCAACAAGTGGTGCTGGGACAACTGGACATCCACATGCAAAAAAAAAAAAAAAGGAATCTAGAGACGACCTTACACTTTTCACAAAAATGAATTAAAAATGGATCACAGACCTAAATGTAAAATGAAAAACCATAAAACTCCTACAAGATAGAATAGGAGAAAAACCTACGTCACCTTGGGTATAGTGATGCTTTTTAGATACAACCAGACACGATTCATGAAAGAAAAATTGATAAACTGGTCTTCATTAAAATGAAAAACTTCTGCTTTGTGAAAGACAGTATCAAGAGACTTAGAAGACAAACCACAGACTGGGAGGAAATATTTGCAAAAGACACATCTAGTAAGGGACTGCTATCCAAAATATACAAAGTATTTTTAAGGTTGGTCAGAGGGATTGTGTGGAAATCATTCATTAGTATGAATCTATTGTGCATTGTCTTTGAAAATCATCCTTGTTTTGTGTGTGTGTGTGTGTGTGTGTGTGTGTGTGTGTGTGTGTTAGAAAAAGAGAGAAAGGTGTGCAAGTTTGATACAATTGAAATAAGCATATGAAAATCTACTTTACGAGATTCGAGCAGGAAATGCAAATTAAAATAATGAGGTACCACCTATTAGAATGGCCAAAATCTAGAACAGTGACAACACCCAATGCTGGTGAGGATGTGGAACAACAGGGACCCTCATTCATTGCTGGTGGGAATGCAAAAGGGTACAGCCACTTTGGGAGACAATTGGTGGTTTTTTAAGAAACTAAACGTACTCTTACCATAAGATCCAGCCATCATGCTTTTTGGTATTTTACCCAAAGGAGGTGAACACTTATGTCCACACAAAAACTTGCACATGGATGTTTATACACACACACACTACCAAAACTTAGAGATAACCAAAATGTCCTTCACTAGGTGAATGGATAAATAAATGGTGTTCACCCAAACAATAGAATGTTACTCAGTGTTCACATAAAAAATGAGCTATGAAGCCATGAAAAGACATGGAAGGAACTTAAATGCATATTACAAAGGGAAATAAGCCAATCTGCAAAGGCTACATACTGTATGATTCCAATTATATGACATTCTGGAAAAGATAAAACTATGGAGACCATAAAAAAATCAGAGGTTGCTGTGGTGGGGTGAGGAGAGATAAATAGGCAGAGCACTGAGGATTTTTAGGGCAGCGTAATTCACTTTGTATGATATTATAAAGATGGGTGTACATCATTATCCTTTTGTCTAAACTCATAGAATGTACAAGATAAAGAGTGAATCCTAAGGTAAACTATGGATTTGGGGTGATTATAATGTGTTGATATAGGCTTATCCTTGGGGTAGGGGGAAGGGGAGAGAGAGAGAGAGAGAGAGAGAGAGAGACAGAGACAGACAGACAGACAGACTCCGGTGAGTGATGTTGATAATGGGAGGCTATGCAAGTGCAGGGGCAGGGGGTTATATGGGAAATCTCTGTACCTTCTTCTCAATTTGTTATAAACCTAAAACTGCTCTAAAAATAAGGTCTTAAAAAAGCTACTTAAGTTTGTTATAGATAGAATTTCCACCTTCTTGTTTCAGAATATTTAGAAGTTGGGTTACTCTGGCAGACTGGGTTTTGCAAAAACAATACTGGAGACTGCTTGATGCAATCAACATGGATCCAATCTTTGTCCCTTTTCACTCCTACATTAAACAGGCAGTTGGAAAGTGCCAGCCAGGGCCCAGATGTCATCAGGGGGAGTAGGTGGCAACAGATGACAAGGGGACACATTAACAAAAGAAGTGACATTCAGGAAAAGGCAGAGCCCCTGTAGATCATGCATGAGAACGGGCATTACAGAGGGTTCTTGTAAGATCCCATGTCATACTCTGGAAGACATTCCCTCTCCTAGGACCCACTGTTTTCTTGAAAGGTCTCATTTGCATGTTTCCAATCTGATAGTAGTAGATGCAGTGGGTATTAAAGGTTACAATAAGGAAGAGATTTGAAGCATAAATACCATAAGAACACCATTTCATACTTTTTCTTAAAGGAAAACAAAGTAGGCTAAAGAAGGATCTGTGTGCATAAAATGAGTAAATAGACCAACATGAATGTTATAAGAATTTGTAGATAATTTTCTGTGATAGAAGTTCTGACTGAGGAGGATCCATTCTCACAAGCAGGATCCATTTACTACATATAAGGCTATTCAAGGTGATATGAGTGTTATATCACTTTTTCTGAACCTTTACCTCTGTTTTATTGTTAATAAATCTGTAGAATATGAGTATGGCACAGGCCCAGGGAAATAGTTGGAGAATAATTTTAGGAACAAAAATAGTTTAAGCATGTCATTGATGTCAGTTACTGTAGCTCCTTTCTGCCATCTATTTTTATCTGTTTTGTTCCTTTCAAACTACATCTTTTTTTTTTTTTAAAGCACTGTCCTCACTGTGTCTCCTATCCATTAATAGCTTGTGGCTTGTAGTTTATCAATTCGGTGCTCTTGACTTCAAGGATCAGAAATCCTTGACTTTGACTGGTTTAACAATAAGGAATTTCATTATTTCACATAATAGGATGTCTAGAGTTTGAGCAAGCTCTAGGCATAGAAGAACCATTTGGCCCAATGATGTCATCAGGGACCTAGGTTCTTTTCATCTTTTCCCTCCCATCCTCTGTGGGCTTTGCCCCAGGCTGACTCCCTTCATGGCTCAACTATGGTTGTAGCAGTTTCAGGTATTTCCACACCTGTGATCCTAGCTAAGGGAAAATGTAGGACCATCTCTCTTTTAAACAGCTTTTTGAGCCATAATTTACATACCATACAATTTTTTCATTTAAAGTTCCTAATTCAGTGCTTTTAGTATATCCATGGAGTGGTGCAACCATCACCACAACCAATTTTAGAACTTTCACCACTCCAAATCCCAACTACATTCCTTGGTTTATGGTTCCTTCATCTTCAAAGCCAGCAGATACCATAATTTTTCTTTCTCTCCTCTATTTCCCTTTTTCTTTCTCCTTCTTTCTCTTTCTCTCTCTCATCTATCTCATCTGTGGTCTCCTTCTCATAAGGACACCTGTGATTACATTGGGTCCACCTGAATAATCCACGATAAACTTCTCATCTCAAGATCCTAAACTTAATCACACCTGTATGGCATTCACATGTTTCAGGGATTCAGACGGACATCTCCGTGTGTGTGTGTGGGGGGGGGGGGCTGTCATTCTGTGTAACATAGTTTTCAGTGTTCAGAATTAATACCTGTTAAAAAGGGCGGGCAGGAAGCAGGACTGGGCAGAGGGAGAAGCTGAGCTGTTATGCAGCCTGTAAACGGGAAACCAGGTTGCAAGCCCTATAGGGCAGGAACCCGAGGGGTGCTGTACTTGAGTGCATGCTGGTGCCTCGCAGGAACACACTTAGCAAATGTTGCGTTGACAGAATGATGAACTGAAGGAGGAAGGAAAGAAGCCTGGACTGAATGGGTTGGTCTCCACACCAACTGGGGTTGGGGGTGGGAGAGGAAAAGAGAATTAGAATTGCTGGTTTATCTGTAGCTTTCTTGTTTTCTGGAATCTTTCACTATATTGTGGCCAAAGAGACGTGTAAAATGTAAACCAGATCACATGGCTCCTTGGTCTGAATCCTCTCAATGCCTTCCCATCCCATTTGGTATAATGTCCGAACCCCTTACCACCATGGCCTGTCTTGCCCACCTCTCCAGCTTCTTCCTACCCTTTACCCCCAGTTACCTTGGCTTCACCCACATTGACCCCTGACCTGCCAAATGCCTCAGGCTTTAGAGTTTTGCACTGGCTGTTCCCTCCCCTCTGGCTCTCTGTTCCCCTGGATCTTTGTTTGACCTGCTTCTTCTCACCTTTCAGGCCTCAGATTAATTACCCCTCACTCAGAGAGGCCTAACTTTGCCTAATTTAAAATAGCTCTTTCTCCCCCCCCCCGCCCCCCCCCCGCCCCCTTCATATCACCTGGTTCAGTTTCTTTGTGGCCCTTATCACTATCTCACATTGCCCTGTTCATTGAGTTATTTCCTTGTTGTCATGCCAGGTCCGAAAATAGTGTTTGCCTTGGAAGGCTTTCCATAAAATATCGTTGAGTGATGGATGGATGGATGGATGGATGGATGGATGGATGGATGGATGGATGGATGGCAGGCTGGATGGATGAATAAATAAGTGAATGAAAAATGAAGGTAGCCCCCAGGTGGCGGCCTTTGCACTCCGCACTCCTTACGTGTCAGGATCCCGGGCCGGAACCCGAGGGCGTCGGCAGCGGTTTCCCTCAAATGAGCGGAGGGAGCTGAAGGGAGCACACAGGAAGGCCGGCGC